CATTATCTTTTCCATCCTAAAATATTTTTTTTAACAAGGTAACATCCTCTGTCAATCTTTCACTGCTTCATTGTTGCCTAATAGCACAGGGAGTACATAGCGATAGCAATTTAGCTGATTAAAGGTGCCATTCAAGAGATTTGTCATCTTTTAAAAAAAATGGAGAAAGAAAAAATCATGAAAAAGGAACAATATTGCAAGTGTTCAAGCTTAATATATTAAAGGGGAATGCACAGATCGTACAATTCAGTCTGGACCACAATTCATCACTTTTCAACACTTTTGTGTTCTTACTGTACTTTTAACATTGATTCAGAGGCCCACACTCAACTAGTCTCCTGAATTCAAAGCAGAAGCTTCAGGTTTCAGATTTAATTTAGGATTGTGCAGAGTTTTCCTTTGGTTCATTTGTCTCCAAGATCTCATCAGCGAGAGAATGTCGGCTGGTGGAGCCCAGGAGGAGAGCCTTCTCTGCTGGTGCCCCCGCCCCTGGAATATTCTCCCCCCAGAGGTGCGACAGGCCCCCACCCTCCCGGCTTTCTGAAAAGGATTAAAGACCTGGCTCTGCGAGCTTGTATGGGGTGATAACAATCTTACCCAATCCTGGGGGTGGCGGCCACCTTGATGACACTCCCTGAGTGACTGCCAACTTTATATCTATCCTTGGAACTATTTATTTTCTATTTATTAAGATTATTGTATATTGTATAATTTTAATTGATTTTAACTGTTTTGTAAACTGCCCAGAGTCGTTTCAACGACTTGAGTGGTGACAAATTTGATAAATAAATAAATCTGTTTGAGGCTACACAATTCTGTTCAGGGTTCAACAAATATGTGTATCTCTAATATATTTATAACTAGGGAGCTTGTGAAGATATGAGGAAATGTTATTATAACATGTCTAGCTGACTCTCTGAAAGTTTTCCTAAAACTGGGGTTTTGGTAGATTTAAAATCAGTTAGCATCTTGTCTTTGCAATTTCTCAGTATGGGTGTTTTTACTCAATTACTGTGAAACCTCGATTTAATGGACCTTCATTTAGCAGACCTCAGCTGCAATGGACCAAACCTGTCAGAACATCCCTCCAAAATGCAGTCCATTACATCTAAAACTGTCAGATGAGGCAGTTAAATTTACTTTAATCCTACATTAATTTATGACATTTTTGTAATGGAATCATTACACAAATGATATAAGTGGCATAAATGTGCATCATTTGTGCAATGATATCTTGAAGCAAAATACATATTTTGTACTGTTCAAATAGTGTTAAGTTTTTATTTATGAATTTATAAGCCACTCCAGTCAATGCAATTCAACACTAAATGGCTACAATGATATACTTTAACAGACATCCAGAAGTAACGAACACCCCTCTCCCCAGATGATTCATTAAAACAAGGTTTCACTGTACCTGTACATTCTACTGTACAGCTAAGATCAGTGTGGTCTATTATACATCTATGATCAGTCTACTTGATAGCTCAACAACAAAAACAGCAGGGCTGTTCACTTCTCTTTGATGTGTCTGCCTTCTGATAACTTCATGTCTCAACCAATAAATATAGAAAGTGCAAGAAACCAGAGGCAGGTAGATGACTCAAGATACAGGACAGAGCCAGCTTCTATCACCAATCTACTTGATTTATCACCAACCTATTGACACTGCCATTTATTATTGAGATACTTTTCTGCCACTAAGCTTGTGTCACATCAAAGATTATTTTTAAGAAAAAGAAAACCAGTATCACTGTACATTATATCAAATTTGAAGGGCTGGAGAGTAATAGAACATGACAAAGGTTTTGCAGATATCACAAAGATGAACAGACGCACTTATTTTAGATGCATCAGAAGAAATAAAGTTGTGACAGCTGCATCCTGGTCACTTAGTTACAGTGGTGCTTTAAAGTTTGTGAACCCTTTGGCAAAACTATGCGAAACTCTAGGTTTATCAGTTCATTTGAAGGAGAAATTAGTCAGGTGTTTCAATCAGATGATAATCAGGTGTGAATGTGGGAGTTTCTGACTTAAAGAATAGAATTCTGTGTATTCATTATCAAAGTCTGATCTTTGCCACACAGATATGTGTGTGTCATGACTTGAACAAAGATTTCTGAGGACCTCTGAAAAACAGTTCTTGATGCTCATGAGGCTGGAAAAGGTTACAAAACTATTTCTAAAGAGTTTGGACTCCACCAATAGATTGTGTACAAATGGAGGCAATTCAACACCATAGTTCCCCTCCCCAGGAGTGGTCAATCGACCAAGATCACACCAAGAGCAAGGTGTGCAATACTCTGGGAGGTCTCAAAGAACCCAAGGGTACTCTCTAAGGAATTAAAGGTCTCTCTTGCATTGGCGAATGTCAGTATTCATGAGACCACCATCCGGAGAACCTTGAACTGGGTTTTTGTGTGCATGGCAGGGTTGCAAGGAGAAAGCCAATACTCTCCAAAAAGAACATTGCTGCCCATCTACAGTTTGCAAAGATCACATGGATAAGCCAGAAGGTTATTGAAATAATATTCTGTGGATTGAGGAGACCAAAATAGAACTTTTCTGCTTGAATGAAAAGTGTCATGCTTGGTGAAAGGCAAACATTGTATTCCAGCATAAGAAACGTATCCCATCTCTGAAACATGGTGGTGGCAGTATCATGGTTTGGGCTTGCTTTGCTGCCTCTGGACCAGGATGGCTTACGATCACTGATGGAAGTATGAATTCTGAATTGTACCAGCAAGTTCTATAGGAAAATGTCAGGGTATCTATCTGTGAACTGAAGCTCAAGAGAAAGTGGGTCTTGCAGCAAGACAACAACCAAAATTACTCAAGTTGTACCATGGTTAAAGCAGTAGAAAGTTAATGTTTTGGAATGGCCAAGTCAAAGTCGTGACCTTAATCCTATAGAAATGTTATGGAAGGATCTGAAGCGGGCAGTTCATGCAAGGAAGCCC